CGTGCCTGCCAGTCCACCCACCGTCCCGGGCGGCTGGGCGTCCTCGTCTGTCCGGGGCTGCTTCTCGGGGCGCCGGGGGGCCGAGGCGGCGACGGGTCTGCAGGAGACGCCACCATTTGCTCTGTCTGGTTGCCTTTGCAGGTGTCGTCGATAAACAGAGTCCTTCGCAACCTGGCTAGCGAAAAGCAACAGATGGGGGCAGACGGCATGTATGATAAACTGAGGATGTTGAACGGGCAGGCCGGAAGCTGGGGCACCCGCCCCGGCTGGTATCCGGGGACCTCGGTGCCGGGGCAACCCGCGCAAGGTAAAGCCCGGCAGCCACCTCCCACCCTGCGCGCGGGTGGCCGCGGCCTCCTCCTCCCCGCCTCCCCCGGCGTCTGCACTCGGGCCAGGGGCTGCCCTGGGCCGGACCGCTCTCGAGAGCCGGTGGTGGTGGTGCACCGTCCAGCTGGCCGGGCCGCGAGGGCCGATGTGTCCGGGGCCGCCTGAGCGCGGCGGTGCGCGCGCGTGTGCGTGGGCAGGACTGGGTGCGAGTGTAAGCATGAGCCCCCTCGGTGCGCTCGCTCTTTCGACTTGACGTTGAAATGCATGGAGAGGCCCCTGCTGTAGGAGTGTGACAAGTTAACACACTGACAGACTGAGGGGTAAACATAATTGTATCGTTTTGCTTTTTGCCTTCATTGACAAATTATGCGACTATGAGTAGGAGGGGGTGAGCAGCCAGGGGCAGCGCAGCGTCCAGGTGGGCGCCCGGAGGAGGCAGCCTCTCCGCTGCAGCCACCTGCCACCCTCGCCCCTGCCCCCGCCTCTGGGGACCCCAGGGCTCCCTCTCCGTGGGTGGCGACCCCGCGGAGGGGGCGGGGCGGGGGCCCTGGAGTGGGACCGCGGGGTGCAGCTCGTGACCTGGGGGGGGAGCTGGGGGAGTCGGCGGCGGGGCAGGGGCCCGCGGACCCTCGCCCCCCACCCGAGGTGGCTTGGTCAGGAATAGGAAACAGTTTACTCCGAAGATTAATCGGCATTTGTTATCCTCGTGACAAGGAGATAATATGCGGGATAATGGGACGTGGCGCGCCGCTCCCGGGAGCGTGGAGCCGGGGGCCGGGCCGGGGGCGGCGGCGGGCCTG